ATTAATTACGGGGTAATTACGGTCACGCGTGCTTAATTGCCACGATCGCTCGCATGCGAAAGATCTTGTGACGAGCCTTTTTTACGAGGCCCTTTTTTCAACGTTGCAACGACCGCGTGCCAAGTATAAAAATGACGTTATCGGTTGTCCCCCCCCCCTCCCTCCTGTGGGATAACCGACGATTTCAAAGAAGACAAAGAGGTTCATATTACAACGATAGTATACGGCGAACTACGAGTTTATGTACGACGACGAACAGAGAGCTGGCGGGAGAAACCACACTGAGAAAGCATCGAGGCTCTTTCGCGTTCGCGACAATAACGACATGTCTAATTGCCGTGAGAGCCACGTTAATGCAAAGTAAAAACATTCACATCTCTCTCTCTCTCTCTCTCTCTCTGAAAAAGGTAGAATAGCTCGCTGGTAATTGCCCGCTGTACACAGAGTCGCCTGAAACGCGCGTCTGAGACAGAATTTTTCGGAATTAAATTCGGAGTAGAGTAGTGTTTTTCTTAAGGAATAGCACAATTATTTAAATGGCGTTAGAATATAATAAAATCGTAAAAGTATTTTCAACACGTCGCGGTAAATCTGTGTAAAATTGTGTAGTATTAATCGCAACGACGATTCAGATGTTCCCATGCCCGCCGAGTAGATCGATCCTCGCGGAATTAAATCCTCTTCGATTTAACTCGCAAGTTGCGCTCGCAACTCTATCGCGCTATTGTACAAAAGGGGGACTTTGTAAGTAGATTGGCAAATATACGATATGTATGTATGTATGTATGTACGAGCTGTGTGACGAACGGATCGCGGAGAAAGTAGGAAATGTACTCCCCTGAGTAGACGTGAGGCCGCGTAGCAAATCGTCGCCTGCTCGCGAATGGCCAACCTGTGAGAAAAGAAAGAGGAAAAGAATTTCACGTTGCTGCTGGATATATATAGGTAATAATATTTCGAAGGGCGTGGCGGTTAAAGATCTGAATCGTTACATTGGGGAATGAATTTAAATGCGTTCTAATCGTTTCTACGATTTTCTTCCGTCGGTTTTAAATTAGCTTCTTCGATTCGATTTTCGATACTTGTTCTTTTGCGTTATTTATAATTTTTTTTGCATCGCGGAGATCGCAGGAAAATGCTTCGAAGCTCACGCTATACTTGCCTAATTATCCGTTGGAGAAGACGTGGGTAATTAAATCCATAGAAAAGTGACGGATCTAATCGCAAACTCGCCGCCCGCTCTTATGATTATGTGCACGCGATAATCATAATAATGCAGGATGGCATTTCGGTCAGATTACGGATAGATTCAAGAATTCATTTCTTTCGATTTGTTATTGGGAGAAGAAAAACTTCGCTAACTGAATTTACTGAATAAACGTTATGTCGAAGATACAGGAGCTTTCACTTAATATTCAAACATCGAAAGCGATCGTCGCGCGATATAGATCATTCGCAGATCATGAAAAGTGTAATTATACGTACTCTGCTACTTCTATCGTAGATGAAGATTTGTTTTTAGCTACATTTAATACGTTATAATTTTCCGCTTTCATTTCCTGCAATTGGGAAAAATCTCCCGTTTCGATAACTGAAACGTCTTCATTCGCCATATACGGGTGCACACTTTCATTTCGCGTCATCTCCTTTCGTGGTCGCCCACAACCGATGCGAAATGAATGTCTTCTCGTGTCTTTCTTGTGACACGGCTTTCGGCTGACAAAGTTAGGCGTTCCCACGTACCAGTCGTCGTCTCGGTGATAAAACGAAAGATAACGCCGATGCGGCACGTAGACACATCTCGGGCTACTTCGTCTTCGTCTTCGAGAGAGGCACCGCTGAAAAATATGTTTTCTCCGTGCGCGGGTGGGGAATTGCATGTCAGTACATAAAGCGCATAATCACGCTCGCTTAGAATCTCTTGATCCTCTCCGTGTATAATGTATCGTAAATGGATGGCCGCGTCACCATTCGCGGATACTCGCGCTTTCTCCGACAGTAACGTAGCCGCTAATCCGTTTTTGCTGTCCTGCTCGCGCTCAAACATTATTTACGGAATAAGTCGTTTGAAATGCATTTTTTTTTCTAAAATTAAAATTACAAGCCGCAGCTCGGATAAATTAATTCTCTTACTTTATCGAAAGTTTGATTTTCGATCGAAGTCGATTTGTATAAAAAACGAGAATATGATGGACAAATATTCATGTATTTTGTATTATTTTATAAATGATAAAAAGTAATTATACATATAAAAATGATCACAATCTCTTCAAATTTGTATAAAATAAAATTAAAAAGATTGTATAGGTTGACGAATATGAATAATTGACTCAACATAAATTGAAATGTATTTACATCAATTTGTTATTTTTGAATAATAAATCTATTTTATGATAGTAATTATGAAAATATGAGAAAAACATTTTTGAAGAAATTAATGAAGTCAACGATAACCAAGGTGTATGATATATTGATTAGTGTTACATTCCTGAATGGAGAAAACTGCTATCTATTTCTCACGCAATATCTTAGATGAATGATCTATATACATTGTAACGACTATGCTTGTCTATCTATAAATCTTAATCTTCAATCAGATAGAGTGAAACTAAATAATATAAACTAAATTTTATTATTTTAATTTATATAAAATATTCATGTTCATAATAAAAATATTTTAAGATTTTTATTAACATTAATTAATTACATATATAATAAATTACAGTAAAATGATGTATAAAAATTGATGTCTTACTTCTAATATACTTGCCAGATGCCACAAGCTTGAAGATACTTTAACGTGTATATATTAATATTCGTATTATATATAAATATATAACAAATTTACAATAAAATTATTATTCTAACTATTATCATTCAGATTTGGGATTTCATAAATCATTGCTTTGTTATAACCGCATAATACAACTTTTTCTCCTGTAGGATGCCAATGTGCATCGACAATTGACATATTTTTAGACATTGGTAAAGAGTTAACGCCTTTTTGGGTCCATTCGTATACGCGTGTACATTCAGAGAGTACAAGCAATCGTGATTGAACAGGACTCCATTTAACAGCTGGAGATAATAAAGTAAGTATTATGTCAATATCATTTTCGAAAAAAATTAATTTTTGACAATGTACCTGTAATGGAATTTTCAAGTAGTAAATAATCCAAATAATCTGTATAGATATCCCATATCCATAATGTAGTAGGATAAAGCTCATGTTTCAAGGCTAAATATTGGCCGCATGTGCTAAATTCAAATAGCTTCATCTTTGCTACTGAAAAATTGTCATTATTGTCCTTCTTCCCAATTTCTATGCATACAGGTCGCTCGTATATTTCACGTACTAAAATTATAAAGAAACCAGACATTTCAAATATTGTACATTTTTTTGCATCAACGTATTTTGAATCTGACAAACTTTCATAGATTAATATTTTTTACTTACAAATGCGTTCCTCGCACGATGCAAAACGTTTATCGGAAGCTTTCTCCGAATCAGCAAATTCTTTATATACTTTCGTTAAGTAATTACAATCCCTGATTACTGGATCCATATATAATTTTGATAGTGGTTGCCATGTGATGTAATTGAGAAGAATGATCTGAATATAGACTTTGAATAATTGTAAATACACCGAACAAAAGTTGGATAATAAAACGTATTGTAAATTTAAATTACCACTTCGTTAAAACCAATTACAGCCAATAACTGTCCACTGGGAATCCATTCAATGTTTTCAATTCCTCTCAGCTCTTTTCCATAATTGCACGGTTCAGACGACTCTATCCTTTCCGATGGGGAAAACGCTGTCACGGGTTTCTCCCACACGGTGGAATAGACGATCAATTTAGGTTCAGCGGGAGAAGAACACCATATGCATAATAATTCATTATTCGGTGACCAGCGGATTCCGTCAATGCTACGTAAACGATCGCAGATAAGTTTCTGAAACAAATTATTAATTTATATTTCGCGCCAGCTTAAGAAATTCTAGGGGAAAAAAAACCCCAATTATATTCAACTGCTTGGCAATCTCTCAACAGGTGGCAGTACTGAAATACACTGTTATTCGCATTACTTGCACTTCTTGCACCGATATTTTGTGTTCTTTCACTCTGAATGCATATAAATATATTTATCTCGCTTTAAGTGCAAAAAGGAATTGAGAGCAACGCGAACGAATCTTTTATTCCCCTTTGACTTTTTGAATTCTCTGAATTTTTCAGTACCAAAGGCAGGACAGACATATTCGCGGTGGAGAAAGAGCAAGAAATTCAAGTGTGAAGGAATGTACCGAAGTGCACGAATTAACGTCTAGTGTAAACGGGAATGCTGGTTAAGGATATCGTGGGCTGCCGTCGTAGCTGCCGGTATTACAATTGTTGCTGGTCGAATCGACTTGAATTTAGACAATTGAATGTCATTCTACCAAAATAATAATAATAATAATAATAATAATAATAATAATAATAATAATAATAATAATAATAATAATAATAATAATAATAATAATAATAATAATAATATAGTAGCGTTGAATGTTTGAATCGTTACGATCGATTTAACATGACGTCTTACATCGCCTGCTCGTGTAACAACGCTCCTTATTGCGCCGACTGGGGTGATAATGGATTGATTTGTTTTGGTGCTTGCAATGCGGTCGCTATATATGAACCATGTGCCCGCATTGGTCGTATAACGCACACGCTGCACAAACATCAAAGAGAAGTTACCACGGTACATTGGATAAAGCCGGGGAACGGCGCGCCGGAATCAGAATTGCTGTCCGGCTCCGTCGACGGTACCGTAAACATTTGGAGAAGGAATTCTCAGAACAATGAATTTCAATGTACCTCGACGTTGAATGCAGGATCCAAGATTATTTTTGCCGAGTCCCTTCAATTGACCAATAATAATGTTCCACTAGCACTTGAAAAAGTATTGATATGCACAGGTGCTGTCTCTGGCGAAGTAAAACTATGGTTGAGAGAAGACACTGTGGAGGTCCAACAAATTCAGCCTATCCTTTTTGAAAAAAATTTATTGCCAATATATTGTCGCTTGACATACTTGCCCAACACTACATGTATTCTTTTGGCCCTAACATTACACGATGCTTCTGTTCGATTATATACAAAGTCAGATGTACCAGAGTCATATTTTATGAAGGCCCAGCATTTAATCGGGCATGAGAGTTGGGTAATATCTATGGATTTTACTCAGGATAATTATGGAAATCTTTTTCTTGCAACTGGTTCACACGACAATATGATACGATTATGGAAAATCAACAAAATTATCGAAGAACCACAGACCGATGAACTTAGATTAAAAAGTTATACCTTTGCGGTGAATGATAAACAGTATAATGTTACTCTTGAATCTGTACTATGGGGTCATGAAAACTGGATTTATGGTCTACATTGGCAGTCCATGAAAGGAAACAATTGTGAAACGATGAGATTATTGTCCTGTTCAATGGACAAGACCATGGTTATATGGGAACCACGTGACATTATGAATGGAATATGGTCAGAAACAGTACGCGTTGGAAAAGTTGGTGGTAATTCTCAAGGTTTTTATGGTTGTAAATTTAGTCCAGACGGATCACACATATTGGGATATGGTTATCAGGGTTCTTTCCATGTCTGGAAATATTCCCAGGAAATGGATGAATGGTGTCCACGTCCCATGCCTGGTGGACACTTTTCTCAAGTAGTCGACTTATGTTGGGAGCCAAAAGGAAGGTATAAGTCTCATATATTTTCTTAATGCAGAGAGACAAAAAATTATTCCATGTATATAGTTTCAACCTTCTTATGTAAAGTACTATGCGATCAATTAATACTTGATGTATATAAAATTTGTTTTTAATGGATTATATTGTAATTATATGAGAATTAAATTGAATACCTTGGATCAAATGACTTAAATTAGGAAGGAATAAAAAGAAATAATTGTTATTTTACAGATTCCTCATCACAGCTAGTAGTGACCAAACTGTAAGAATTCACGCGCCATGGAAAGATAACAATTATATGGAACTATGGCATGAAATTGCACGTCCTCAGATACATGGATATGATATGACATGTCTAACCATGTTGACTCCACAGACATATGCTTCTGGAGCAGATGAGAAGGTGGTGCGTATTTTCACAGCCACAATTACGTTTAGAAATCAATTAAAATCACTGGCGAATGTCGACGATTTCGAATCCATACAAGCTTACAGTGCTTCTGTACCTTCCCTTGGATTAACGAATAAAGCGATGAATTACGAAGATATGAATGATACTGATGAAGACATGAAAAATTTTGTAACGGAGAAACATGTAACGGAGAACATATATGAACCATTCACAGAAGAGGAATTGATAAAAAAAACACTTTGGCCAGAAGTAAATAAACTTTACAGACACGGTTACGAAATATTCTGTGTAGCAGCGAGATATGATGGAAAATTATTAGCTACATCAGCAAAATCAAATAATAAAGAACACGCGGCAATTTTATTATGGGATACCAATACCTGGATGGAAATTCAAAACTTGGTTTATCATCATTTGACTGTAACACAAATGGAGTTCTCTCCAGATGGGAAATATTTATTGTCTGTGTCCAGAGACCGGAATTGGTCGTTGTTTAAAAATATAGATGGATATCATAAATTAATCGCAGCAAGTTCCAACAATGATAATCCGCATTCGCGAATAATTTGGTGTTGCTCTTGGACGCAAGATTCGGATTATTTTGCAACTGGATCCAGAGATGGAAAAGTTGCTATTTGGTCTACGAGCACAATAGAGAATAATGTTATACCAAACATAATTTTGGACATGCACAATCAGTCGGTTACAGCATTATGCTTTGCACCAAACTGTATCACACAAGGATCCTATCTTCTAGCTATCGGATTCGAGACGGGACATATCGAAATCCGAAGAATCAATATATATTTGGACAATACATGGTCTGTATTGCTGAAGTATGATACTTCACAGGCTCATCATTTAACGGTGAAAAGACTCAAGTTTCGACCTAACGATAATCAGTCACGTGATACACTGCAATTAGCAAGTTGTAGTTCCGATCATTCCGTTAAAATATACAATATAGATCTATCATCTTTGTTATCTTCATTATCATTATTAACATTATAGTTTTTATCAATATACAAGAATTCTTATAGATTTCTATTATTTTTGTAGTTATATGCGAAACATATTTATAATAAAATATAAATTCTGAGTAAAAATTTATAAAAAAAAGAATATATTGTTATATATTTTACTTACTCGACTTATCTTCCAGTTATCAGTTTTATAAATCTCCACTTTATCTTGATCTTCTTCTGTAATTATTACTGCTAATCTCTTACCATTAGGGTCAAAATGTAATTTATTGAAGGAAGATGTTTTTAAATTCTGTATGTATGATACACTCTGGTCTTCCAAATTCCAAATAGATATTTGAATCTGTAAATATTTTGTATATTTGTATATTTAAATATCTTGCTTTCAAAGTAATTGTGAAATATAGATTTTTTCTTTTTTTTAATAAAATGCAAATATGAATTGCTGTAAAGCACTTACATTAAAATCTGCTAAAGTAAAAATATGTTTATTATCTGGAGACCAGGTAACGCTTTGCAAACCTGAACTGCCTTCAGTAAGTTTACATTTCCATTGAGGATAGTGTAGTGAATATACCTGAACGATAGCTTTTTTTATATTCGCACAAAGAATATATTCGCTGTTTAAAGACCATTCCATATACTGTAATGTAACAGAAATAAAAATATAGATATCCTGCTAAAAAATCATCACGAAAAATCATCTTTGTTAATACAAAATACTCGTCTAAATAGAAACATTTTATCAATGAAAACAATACTTTGACGTAGTACTATAAAATATAACTGCACACTAGCCAATCAGAAAGCTTGAATATAAACTTTCAGACGGACAAGAGATATTAATTAATTCGGCACACAATCATCATTTTCTTATCGGTATACAAACTAACCTGTATCACATCCGCGAATACAAACGATCGATAAGTATCAAGAGTTTTTGTATTCTTTATAAGCAGATTTGTTTGGAATGCCACTGCTAGAAATGCACCATTGTTCGAAAAGTGGCATAGTCGATTGTTTATTCGAAAAATCTTGTCTTCGTTGAAGTTAGTGGCCATTTGAAACAATTAG